AATTACATGACCTAAAATGGACATCTAACAACAAAAACATCATCAAAAAAGTACAAGAAAGAATGTTCTTTTCTGTGCCAACTCAGAAAGCTCAAACTGCCCAAGGAGCTGCTGATACAGTTCTACAGAGGAATTATGGGGTCTATCATCTGCACCTCTATAACTGTCCGGTTTGGTTCTGCAACCCAACAGGACAGACAGAGACTTCAGAGGATAATTAGGACTGCAGAAAAATAATTACTTCCAACCTGCCTTCAATTGAGGACCTATATACTGCATGAGTCAAAAAGAGGGCTGTGAAAATATTTGCAGACCCCTCACATCCCGGACATAAACTGTTTCAACTCCTTCCCTCAAAACGAGGCTATAGAGCACTGCACACCAGAACAATTAGACACGAGAACAGCTTTTTCCTGAAAGCCATCACTCTGCTAAACAAATAATTCCCTCAATACTGTTCAACTATTTACAAAGTCTGCACTACTATTACTGTTCTCATCACTCCTTATCACCCATCCCCTCCCACTTGTGACTGTATGACTGTAACTTTGTCGCTTGTATCCTTATGATTTATATTGACTGTTTCCTAGGATGATTTGGTTGCTTATTGTACCCTATGACTATCATTAAATGCAGATGCAATATTGTCAGACCAGTTCAGTTTTGCATCATCAGCATGTGCAAAGGTTTTGTGTTGCTGTTGAGAATAAAATCTAAGCGACAGGGGAAGGGGAGGGACTCTTATAATGCATAGCATCCAGTTATGTCCATTCTCCTTCCTTAAAATTAAGTACAATAATTCTAGATTCACCCTAGATTCCTACATTTCAATAAATACTAAGTGGCTAGATTCTATTGCTAAACACAATGTTTAATTTGACTATTGTGACAGGATTTGGCACCTAGAAAGAGCCACAGAAAATTACCTGAATTCTCTTTGCAGCTTTTAGTATAAATGTGTAGATTCAAAGTGCATTTAGAGAAGAATAGATTAATAAAGCAAAAGAGCATTTAGATTTGGCATGAGGAAAATAGAAGTTGCTATTTTTAGTAATCACATCTCATTATCACTTGTCAGCATCTTGGATCTCAGTAATAATTAGTATGATAACATCCTTTAGGAATAGCTTTTATAATATAATTATGATGAACTTGAGTTTCCACAGAATTGTTTGGCTTCAGTTTTACCACTAAGCCTTGGCTATCACAGCAACAGGAACCAAAGAGAATAGAAACATTCCATTAACAGATGGGTGGGAGGTTCGCTTTGATTTTTGAGTAATTTTGAAGTCACTACTGGTAGTGCCCTATTTTTGTTTGAATAACTGGCTGATGTTTAATATGATGCATATCTCCCTCTTCCTCCTTCTCCTCTTGTTCTACTACTATTTCTATTTATTTTGAAACTGACTTTTTTTTTCTTATGATGCAATACTTGCTATTAGCCACAGTGTGGGTCCTTCGTTTTTGCTTGTGTGTACAAGTACTTATGGCCTATTTTTTCTTCCTCTCCAGAGTACTTCACACTTTCTTCACATATGTTAAAGGTATTGTTACCTTTAAGGGAAAATTTGAGTTTTGTGTCTGGACAAGGACAGGCACAAAACCTTCAAAATTAAAACCCCCAAAGTCAACTGTTCTCGGGACACAGAGTAAAAATGCCCTGTCAGAAACCCACAAAATATATTTCCCCTATGACTTCTATGCAGCATTGATGAGACAAGTTGCACCTCAAACTGAAAATGTGTGCAGATTCAACAATACAAGTATTGGTGGGATAACTATGTCTGCGCTTCTTTGTAGTGTTGTTCCCGAAGATATCTGTAGGTATTATCAGAAAAATATTGCTGTAGGACAACAATTGTAGGGCTAATCAAAAAGGTATAAAGTTCAGAAGAACAGAACCCAATTCTTTCTGCACTTGCTGTTTTTCTACTACTCATAATTGTGCCTAAGTAGATTCTGTTGCTCATTACTAGAATATGAGTACATATGAATTTTAAATTCTCCTGGAAATGTCTCATTCAAATATGGAAGGCTATTCAGAATCAGTGAGAAGTCTTTCTTCTCTGGCAGTAGAAAATAAAAAAACATTAAATTCCTGCTTCTGAATTTAGTCTAATTAGACTGGAATCCATCCTAATCTTCAAGGTGGTATTAAAGTTTGGGGGTGGCAAATAATTTAATCAGTGGAACGACTTGCCTCCAGAAGTTGTGGCTGCTCCAACACTGGAAGTTTTAAAGAAGAGACTGGACAACCATTTGTCTGAAATGATATAGGATTTTCTGCTTGAGCAGGGGGGTTGGACTAGAAGAACTCTAAGGTCCCTTCCAAATCTGTTATTCTGCTTCTGTTAGCTGAACAGAATATGAAATGCTTTGCAAAAGGTAGAGAATGATAAATACCTAAGGGGGTGAGATACAAAGTCGCATCCTGTACTCTACCACTTTTTTTCTTCGTCCTCTAGTAGGGAATGAGTTTCTTCTAGGTGTCTTCCTGCTTCAAGTGGTAACAGAATGCTAAAAACAAGAAAGAAAGAGACTGTGGCTCAGTTTTTTTCAAATTGCTTTAAAAGGACCAAGCTCTTATGGCAATTAATGACTCACACATTTAAGTACTCGGATGACCGCACGTACTCAGATGACAAGATAGCTTACCAGGTTAGCATATAGCAGGGCTAAACATTTATAAAGGCATCCCTGTGTTCTACATCTTTTTAGAAGGCAAAGCCTTGAAGGTTCTCATTAAGTTAAAAAGAACGCAATTGCTCTACATAAATGACCTCTGTGATCATATTAAGAGCAATTGCGTTCTTTTCGCTGATGATGTAAAGCTGTTCAATACCACAGACAATACTGCTACCCTACAAAAAGATCTTGACTATGTATCGGAATGGTCAAACAAATGGCAACTTCAAATCTCAACAAATAAATGCTCTGTCTTACATATTGGCAAAAAAAATCAGAAAATAAAATACAAGCTGAATAGTCAAGATCTTGTTGATGACCCAAGCTCTGTAAAGGACCTTGGAATACTCACCTCTAATGATCTAAGTGCTAGAGCCCACTGCAACTACATAGCCAAAAAGGCATTAAGAGTTGTTAACCTAATCCTACGTAGCTTTTTCTCTGGTAATATCACACTACTAACCAGAGCATACAAAACATTTGCTAGACCAATACTCGAATACGGTTCATCAGTCTGGAACCCACATTATGTATCTGATATTAGCACAATTGAGAAAGTCCAGAAATATTTCACAAGAAGAGTTCTCCACTCCTCTACTCGTTGTAGAATACCTTATGCCACCAGACTTGAAATTCTAGAACTAGAAAACCTTGAATTACGCCGTCTTCGGTCTGACTTAAGCATGGTATATAAAATCATACATTGCAATGTCCTACCTGTCAATGAATACTTCAGCTTCAACCATAACAACACAAGAGCACACAATAGATACAAACTCAAAGTTAACCGCACCAAACTTGATTGCAGGAAATACGACTTCAGCAATAGAGTGGTCAATGCCTGGAATACTCTACCTGACTCTGTAGTTTCTTCTCCAAACCCCAAAAACTTTAACCTTAGACTGTCTACTATTGACCTCACCCCTTTCCTAAGAGGTCTGTAGGGGGCGTGCATAAGCGCACCAACGTGCCTACCGTCCCTGTCCTATTGTTTCTCTTATTCTTCTTTTATTTTTCTTATATGTACCCATTTCATGTATTCACAACTATGTATACACTTATACTTATTATCTTGTAAACAATTGGCAAATCAAATAAATAAAAATAAATAAAATAAAGTTGACAATAGAGCAATGACTTTTTCCTTAACTGCTCTCCTGCAAATGGGAATACTAGATAAAACCTTTCATAGTTCAAGTAGCTTTCCCTTCTTCAGACATCTAAAGATTACTGCCTCTTTGCACAGAGTGTTTTTTCAGTATGAAAGAAGAATCAGAAAAAATGTGTTCCTCACTTTTTTCTTTAAAACAACATGTTTTGGTTCCTCATACATGGATTGAAAGATGTTGTTGTTGTTGTTTTCCTCCCATGCACTGTAAAGGTTTATTCAAGGGTACAACATTCCAGAAGGATGAAACTTTGGGGGCCAAAGTAGCAAGCCTTTGCATGATTTTCTCTCTGACATTTCGTCCCTGAACTCGTTCAGCAGCTAAAGAATAGCATGAGGCATACAAAACATTTGCTCGACCAATACTCAAATACAGCTCATCAGTCTGGAAACCACATTATGTATCTGATATTAACACAGTTGAGAAAGTCCAGAAATATTTCACAAGAAGAGTTCTACTCGTTGCAGAATACCTTATGCCATCAGACTCGAAATTCTAGACCTAGAAAACCTAGAACTACGCCGCCTTCGGTCCAATCTAAGTATACTATATAAAATCATACACTGCAATGTCCTACCGGTCAACGAATACTTCAGCTTCAACCATAACAATACAAGAGCAAACCATAGATACAAACTCAAGGTTAACCGCACCAAACTTGATTGCAAGAAGTACGACTTCAGCAACAGAGTGGTCAATGTCTGGAATACTCTACCTGACTCTGTGGTTTCTTCCCCAAACCCCAAAAACTTTAACCTTAGACTTTCTACTATTGACTTCACCCCTTTCCTAAAAGGTCTGTAGGGGGCATGCATAAGCGCACCAAAGTGCCTACCGTCCCTGTCCTATTGTTTCTTTTATTTTTCTTACATGTACTCATTTCTTGTATTCATAACTATGTTTATCCTTATACCTATTATCTTGTAAGCGATTGACAAATCAAATAAATAAATGAGGACAATCTAGCCATTGGGGAAAATTCAGCTCCTCACTCCTGTTATAGGTCAGCAGGATGGGGAGAAGATGGACTCAGCAAAGCAGAGCACAGGAGAAACATAGATGGTTTCATGTAAAATAAATGCTAAATGTCAAAGCACAACTTAAATATTGTATGTTAACGAAATTGTTATTGTATTTTTCTAGTCCATGTATGAAAGACAAGGGATTGCTGTAATGCCACCAACAGTACCTGGAAGTCCTCAAGGCCCATTTCTGGGTGTACCACGAGGTACAGTAAGAAGACAAAAATCAATAGGTAAGATATTACATGCACATCAATAAGGGAAACTAACTTCTTTATAATAAATTGCTATTACATGAGAATATCAATTTATTATTATGTTTCTCTTTATTGCCAACTGATTATCAGCTGGAGCCAATATTTTTTTAAAATGTCATAATAGATTGTGATGATTAGAACTTTAGTTAATATAATGAAATAGCTAGTTTTTGGTGTTGGGCTGGAAAATTTTATTCAACATCCGATGCAACCTCTTTTCCTGATTAATACTTAACTTCTAAGTTTCCAGCATGAAATTTAGAATCTCATTCAACATTTAGCAGCCTTAATGCATCGGTCTTTATAATATTTGGATAAACATTTCACAGTTCCTCTAAATTATGCTCTCTGTCATGCATTATGAATTGTTTTATTTTCTTTCATGCATAGCAACCTGTTCCTTAATGACCACAGTGTATAAATACATGTTTTTAAGTGTTTCATTTTCCTTTTAATTTTGCATGATCTCTTTTTATGCATGCTTTAGAAAAAGAACAACTGTCTGCAGGAATTTACAAGGTTCAGTACACAAAAGATAAATGAAAAGTCCCTGAATCAAGTTCTAGCACAGGAAAATACTACAATAGACATATTATATAACTGTATGATGCACAGAATAAATAATACTACGTTTATTTTATATGTGATTATGCTGTGTTGAAAAGAAATGACAATTTAAACATTATGCCTTTTTTTAAAGGGGTAACAGAAGAAGAGCGGCAATTTTTGGCTCCTCCCATGCTCAAATTTACTAGAAGTCTATCAATGCCAGATACTTCAGAAGATATTCCCCCTCCACCACAGTCTTTGCCTCCATCACCACCACCTCCTTCTCCTTCTCTTTACAACTCTCCCAAATCTCCAGTATCTAGAATGTATGGCACAATTAAGCCTGCTTTTAATCAGAATTCAGGTACAAAGATAGCTGTTTCCAGTCGGTCTGAACACATGGGGACTGTGATCAGAGACAAAGGCATGTATTACAGGAGAGAAATGGACCGTTATTCTCTAGATTCTGAGGACTTATACAGCAGAAATGCCGCAACTCAGGCCAACTTCAGAAACAAGAGAGGTCATATGCCAGAGAATCCTTACTTGGAAGTTGGAAAAATAGCCAGCAAAGCAATGTATGTTCCAGCGAAACCAGCCCGACGGAAGGGAATGCTAGTGAAACAGTCTAATGTTGAGGACAGTCCAGAAAAAACTTGCTCCATTCCTATTCCAACCATTATTGTGAAAGAGCCATCCACCAGCAGCAGTGGGAAAAGCAGTCAAGGAAGCAGCATGGAAATCGACCCCCAGGCTTCAGAGCAACCAGGACAGCTGCGACCCGAAGATAGCTTGACAGTCACCCCTTTTGCAGCTGCCATTGCAGGAGCAGTGAGGGATAGGGAGAAAAGATTAGAAGCCAGGCGCAATTCTCCGGCTTTCCTTTCCACAGATTTGGGAGATGAGGATATTGGACTAACCCCTCCAACTCCACGTATGAGACAGTCTAAGTTTAGCGATGAGGGGCTCTTTGGTAACGAAGAGGAGTTCAGGCAGCTTGTATCACCATCTCCTATCCCAGCACCTAGAGAGACCGAAAACATTTTCAATGGCAGCGAATCAAATAACCAAAATGACGTAAGGACACCAAACTCTTCAGTCCAAACCATGGCGAGTTCTGAAAACAATGCATTGACAACCCAAAATACTGGCTTAGATAATTATGTTCATCCCCTGACAGGGAAAGTACTGGACCCCAATTCCCCTTTAGCCCTTGCCCTCTCTGCCAGGGACAGAGTCATGAAAGAGCAAAGCCAGCCGATTCCAGGGAAAGGGGAATCCAGCAAAGCAGATCTTAACAAACCCCTTTACATCGATACAAAGATGAAGCCCAGCGTTGAAGCACCATTCCCAGCAATAGCTACCATTGCTAGGCAAAATACGCGTGGTCTACTGAGGCGCCAGGAGACGGAGAATAAATATGAGACGGATGCAGCAAAAGAGAGGCGGTCTGAAGAGAAAAAGAACATGCTAATAAATATTGTGGATACCTCACAACAAAAGTCAGCCGGTTTGCTCATGGTTCATACGGTGGACACAGCACAAGCCAGCGATAACCCTGAAAAAGAAGAGAAAAGTGCTGAGATGGAGGTGAACGTTGAAAAGCCACCATCGGAGATGCAGGAAGAGACAGAAGCAGAAGAAAGTGGTTTGGGTGATCCTGGCCTGCTTCCGCCACTGTCCCCATCCTGCAAAACAATTGTTGCTGTTAGCTCAATCGACGATCCAATCATTTTGCCATTTCGTATTCCTCCTCCCCCTTTAGCTTCGGTTGATCTTGATGAAGACTTTATCTTTACTGAGCCATTACCTCCTCCTTTAGAGTTTGCTAACAGTTTTGATATTCCTGATGACAACTCAGTCCCAGCTTCTGTCTTGGCCCTAACAGACTTGGTCAAACAGAGAAAAAACGGAACTCCTCCTGCTTCATTTAACCCTATCCAACCCTCAGATTCATTAGACGGTAAGAAATCAGGGGGTCTTTCAAACTGCTTGCCTCCCTCATTTTTGCCACCCCCTGAAAACTTTGATAATGTCCCTGACTCTGGGATCGAAGAGGTGGACAGTCGAAGTAGTAGTGACCATCAACTAGAGACAACCAGCACTATCTCAACCGTGTCCAGCATCTCTACCTTGTCCTCTGAAGGTGGTGAGAACTTGGATACTTGTACAGTCTATGCAGATGGGCAAACATTTCTGGTGGACAAACCCCCAGTACCTCCTAAGCCAAAAATGAAGCCCATAATCCACAAAAGCAATGCACTTTATAAAGACGCGCTCATTGAAGAAACTGTGGATAGTTTTGTTATTCCTCCTCCAGCCCCACCTCCTCCTCCAATCAGCACACAGCCCAGTATGGCTACAGTTGTACAGCAAAGGACCTCTAAGCTCTGGGGCGATGTCACAGAAATTAAAAGCCCAGCTCTCTCAGGCCCAAAGGCAAATGTTATTAGTGAACTGAACTCAATACTGCAGCAAATGAACAGAGAAAAATCCTCAAAGCCAGGAGAAGGGTTGGAGTCCCCTCCAGGGACAAAAGTTGCCACTACAAGGTAAATGCAACTCCCAAGTTTTTAAAACACCCCTATTGCTTGCCAGTTTGAACTTATCTTGCTTTTACTGCACACTGAGATGTAATCATACTTAAATATTGTAATTCCAATATGTTAGCTTTTTCCATTCCTATCTATAGAAAAGTTAAATGCATAATAAACTAGCCTTTTCCCTTATGAATGTAGATAGTCCATTCAGAAAATATTCAGACCACTCCCCCATCACTTCAATTTAGTTATGTGGCAGCCTGATTCTACAGTTCTTTTTTTTTCTCATTTATCTCCACTTAGTACCTTATAATGACAGAGTAAAAACAGAATTTTAGAAAGGTCAGTAAATTTATTCAAAAGAAAAGAACTGAAATATCACATTGGCTTAAATATTCAGACCCTTCACTCAGTACTTTGTTAAGGACCTTTGGTAGCAATTAGAGCAGGGGTGTCAAACTGGTGGCCCATGGGCCGGATGCGTCATGCACAGGTCACACCCACCTCAGCTCCGCAAAGGGAAAAATGTCATGACATATCATGTGATAGCAACGTGACGGCGCGAATTTGACACCCGTGAATTAGAGCCTCGAGTCCTTTGGGATATGACGTGACAAGCTTTGACCTCATGGCTTTTGCTGTGCTACACTATGCATTGTCAGCTGTGAGGCCTTCTATAGAAAGGTGTGTGCTTTTTCAAATCATATCCAATCAATTTAATCTACCACAGGTCGATTCCAATCAAGGTATGTAGAAAAATAATGGGAGGCACCAGAGCTAAATTTCAAGTGTCGTTGCAAAGGATCTGAATATCAATGTGATATTTCAGTGGTTTTTTTAAAATAAATTTATGGACATTTCTAACATTCTGTTTTCACTTTGTCATTATGGAGTACCGAGTGTAGATTAATGAGGGGAAAAAATGAATTTCAATACCTCTAGAATCAGGATAACAAAATTGACAAAAGTGAAGGGGGTCTAAATACTTTCTGAATCTGCTGTAAGTACAGCTAGAAATATAAAATATGTAAGTAGAAGCTGAGATCCTAAGGTTTAATTCTACCGTATGCAAAAAAAATCAAATGTTTTTCTGATTCATACTACAATCTAGAACTGATCCTGAAAATCTATGTGCTCTTTGGAATAGCATGGAGTGATGTAAAAGATAATAGGGAAAGAAATTATAATCCCACATGAGCATTCAGAAATATTTTCTAATCATACCTGGGGCTGTTTTATCCATTTTATATAAAGAACATTTATATTTTAGCTAAGCTACTACCCATTACAAATTAATTTGTTTGAAACACCGGCTATAGTATTTAGAGCTGTGAAATGTTTATTTTATAGGTGTAACTATCTATGAATACATACTTGCAAAAATCTTAAGCATTGTATAAGTTTAACCAGCTCAGTTGGTTTAATTTATCCAATAGTTCAGAGATTTGAATATATATTAAAGGAGTTGAATTAGTTGGATTGAACTTTTTGGATAGGACTAGCTATGACACTGAGGCTTTTATAGACTGGCCTATTATTGTTAAGAAGGTAAACATTTGCTAGCTGGAACTTGTCAGACAGATGAGAATCAGCTCTATTTCTGAACATTTTATTTTATAGATAACTTTTGGATAACAAAGCTTATTGAAGTTACAAAATTGGAGAGGCCCATTCATTTGGTGATGACTAGCACCAAAATTTAATCCAAGACGCAGGAATGTCACATTAATATATGAAAACAAACATTCTGTATCCCAGGCTGTTTTATTTGTGGTGTCCCCCATGAGACTTTTACCAGATGGTGCCAAACATTAAATGGCAAAGAAGTGGCTTCTCCAGTTTCCGGTATATCTTACAGAAATACCCTAAAGGAAGCCTAGAAGCACAATTACTGAATTTTAACAAGAGTTCCTTTACCAAGTAGGATGGAAGTCACAATTTTTAATGGTCCCAGTTCTAGTTATACTTCACTGTATTTTTCAATGTAGTTATGAGATGCACTCTTCTAGAGTACTTCCCATTATATATATATATCATATTTATGTAACAGTCTGCAGCTTGTGGCAGATTTAACCTGCAACCTACAATTACTCGGTTACATCCTAAAAATTTTTTTTTCCTGAAACAGGAAAACAAGAGTTTACATATTTTAGAAAACTTGAGTTGTGTTTTACTATGATAGGAATTCTTAACTGATCCGAAGGTATCTATAATACCTTTGTATTTATATACTTGTGCTGTAATCAGGTAAGTTTTTAAAAAATGCTTTAAGGAAAGAAGACTTTAAAATAATAAAAATGATTAAAATGAGGCAAGAAAATGCCTATAATGCATAGAAAGCAACATAGCATTACATAGTGACCACATGAAATGATATTATTTTGATCCCCAGCTTGATACATACCATCAATTCAGGATTGTAAATTCAGTGTGGCATTATCTTTCCACCATAAAAGTTTTTCCTTTATTCTTTATATATATTTATATTCCAATTTTGAATTTGGATTTCAAGTTCACATTCATACATTTCACATTGGGAAATATTTTATAAAAACAATAATTTCTTAGTTGCTAGTATATGAAGTGTAATGTTAAAAAAATCAAAATAATGGTGATTTATTAAATCATAATCATTATATAGTTTATCCCGAACATCCTTGATAATAGAAATAACATCTTTTGCTGTTTCAATCAAGAAGCCAATAGTTTACTAGAGCCTTCTCAGTCTGAATTTTCTGCTTTATGCAGTTTAGTATATATTCAGTACAATGTATAGAAAGGGATTTGGGTTCCTGTTTAACTGACATAAAGCACTGTATAATTATTGTGTAGGTTATTTTATATGTACTGAGAAGTGCGTTAATGTTTCTTTTCTTCTGTTTTATAAAAATGGTTATTTTATAATGATGTATCTAAATGCCAGAAGTGGTGGCTCAGTGGCTAAGATGCTGAGCTTGTCGATCAGAAAGGTCAGCAGTTCGGCAGTTCGAATCCCTAGCATCACGTAACAGAGTGAACTCCCGTTACTTGTCCCAGCTTCTGCCAACCTAGCAGTTTGAAAGCATGTAAAAATGCAAGTAGAAAAATAGAGATCACTTTGGTGGGAAGATAACAGCGTTGCGTACACCTTTGGCATTTAGTCATGCCAGCGGAGCCGTCTTCGGACATCGCTGGTTCTTTGGCTTTGTAACGGAGATGAGCACCGCCCCCTAGAACCGGAAACGATTAGCAATTTCTGCCACATGAACAATTATTGTAATACAGCTTTTATTTATCCTTTCAACTAAATATTGATATACTAAAAATAATCAACTCGGGAAGAAATATGGCATGAAGTTGGAGGGGGGAACATATGTTTGCTGCAAAGAATTTGAGTCACATATATCTACCAAATTCAACTCTAATACACTGCTCAAAAAAATAAAGTGAATACTTAAACAACACAATGTAACTCCAAGTCAATCACACTTCTGTGAAATCAAACTGTCCACTTAGGTAGCAACACTGATTGACAATCAATTTCACATGCTGTTGTGTTAATGGAATAGACAACAGGTGGAAAGCATAAGCAGTTAGCAAGACATCCCCAATAAAGGAGTGGTTCTGCAGGTGGTGACCACAGACCACTTCTCAGTTCCTATGCTTTCTGGCTGATGGTTTGGTCACTTTTTTTATAAATTTTTTATTAATTTTCAATAAACAAACATACACAAACAAAACACAAAACATGAAAACATAAAACTTCTTTTTGGAAAGCGGCTTAGTCCCGGGTTACATCTTTTTGTACAGACATAAATTCGAATTCATGCTCACTTTATATACCATTTCATATCTTATTTACCATTCTACATTTTCTATATAGCTTCTCCCCTCTTTTCACTCTCTTAATTCTGTTTTATTTATTTCATCTCAATTTAAATCATTATGCTTATATCTTTTTTAAAAAAAAACAAGTTTTATTAATTTTCAAAACACACAAATCATCATTATCCATTACATGTTTAAACCTTTTTCCATTATAAATTTAACAAGTCAGATAAACTATAATTCTGTTTTAAACCATTTCCATATAAACATACAAAAACCTCTTATCCAATTTCTCTTTATTTCTCTTTACTCTTATTCAATTTTATTATTATTATTTCATCTATTTCTTTCTGACTTAGTTACCATTATTCTCATTCTATATTTCTGCAAGGTTTTATTAATTCTCCCCCCCAAAAAAAACATATACACACAACACACAAAACATAAAAAAAATCTTTTTGGAAAGTAACTTGGACCCAGGTATCTCTCTTTTCATGGACTTCAGTTATATTCATGCTCATCTTACATATCATTACTTATTTTATTTACCATTCTAAGTCTTCTATATTAACTTCTCCACATATTTCACTCTTCTTAATTCTATCTTAATTAATCATCTTAATTTGAGTCATTATATTTGTATATTTTGTCCATTCTTTATTGTCCCTTTGTCTCGTTCCTTATAAAAAAAAAAAGAAGTTTCTCCTGAAATCACTAATCAGAGTATGATGCCTTTCTATCTCCCCACTAAATTAATCAAATTAACCTTTAAAATAACGCCCAATACCCAATCCGATTTTGCTTGGTACATTCTATCTGAATAGTACATCCAGAATAATTAAATACATAGTTAAACAATAGATCTAAATATTAAAAACAAATACTATAATAGAAATTTTATAATAACATCGATACCATAATCTTATTAAACTCTTTAATTAAAACTCAATATTCTAAACCTCCCCTCATATTATTAGATTTTAAAACCAATCATTATTAAACATTTCAACATTTTAATCTCTTATCAACTCTTAAACCATTTAAGTTTTCTATTTCTAATACAATACTACAATATCATCTTATGTACCTTGCAAAATCTCTTTGAAGAAATTATACTTTATCCTTTATCCCTAAAAAAGATTCCTTTTTTCCCATTTAATTTCAAAACTTTGTAGCTTTTCTCCACCTTTTCCCTTTCTTTCTTC